ATCCAAACTGGGCTTCTCGCATCCTTTTAGCTCGCATTTTTGCCGAGTCACCCATTGTTCCGCTCCCGTTGCCTGGGCTCCTCGACCTTGGCACTCGTGCCCCGTGCCGATGGAGATGTGCTCTCTGCAAAAAGTCTGCTGACACGAGTTGCACTTGATTGGAAGAAAGTCTTGTGTGCCGCAGTAAAGCTTGGAGCACGCCTTGCCGACCGAGAGGGACATTGTTTTTCCCAAGGGTTGTGGGGGGGAACGGGCTAGGGTGCAGCGGTGGCGTGTGGGACTTCGGCTTTTGATTATCTCAGACGTAGATTTTCCCATAGTTTGTACTTTCACTTGAAATTCATTTCGCCTCTCTCCCCTTCCTTTTTCCAAATCTTGTATGTCGACCTACCTCTTTGGAGGTGGTCCGCTCCTGCATTATGCTTCGGTCATTTACTCCCATGAACAAAACCCAAATGGCGATGTGATCGGACTCTGCCAAAGCTTATGGGACGCTTTGAAGGAGGATGCCGGGGTTACCGGCGACGAGCAGCATGTGTTGGCCGTCTCATTAAGACTATCCGACGGACAACGAAAACAAAAAGTTCAGACCTCAGCAGACGACGAGAGACACTCGAACTCGGATTCTCTCACAGCTCTCACAGTGTGGGCTACGATCGATACCAACGTGAGTGAGTCTGCTACCCCGCGTGCTCTGCTATCCAGGCCATCTCACATCTGGTGTTTCGGGCCACTCTTTTCAGGTACCGGCTTCTTCGAACCTAATAACAATCCCAGCATCGTTTCAATCCAAATACCCTCACATCTTTCTCCCATCCTCTGATCCAACCTTTACAACGACCGGCGATGGGCCCATCTCCACCGACTCGCGGCGGTTCTTCTCCCATACCGTCGCCGTTACTCGTCCTCCAACCTTGACGGAACTGTTCATCGTCGCTTTATCAAATTCCGCATATGGTGTGCTGGAATCGTCTTCGACCCAAGTGGAAGATTGGTTCTGCAATGACAGCAAGATCGTCCTCGTGGTAGATTCAAAAGGAGAAACCCAAAGTGTTGCAACCAAAGCGATTATACGCCAAGGCGAGACCTACGCATTTACGACCCGAGAATCTAATGGCATTCAAAACGGAACAATCGCCAATGGAGCTGAAGGTGATCCACCGCGACGTCAAACCACCAGCGCGTTTGCGTACCGTTACCGCGTGCTCATGGCTGAGCCGGTCTTACAAGGCGTGGCAGAACGCGGGAAAACCAAATTCGTCGTCGTGCCCCCACAAGAAGACGAGGCCTCGGAGGACCGTGGAGGAGGAGAACAAGGTGCTCGGGAGGAGGTCACGGTGAGCGGGGTCGATGCGGATGGGTCGGAAGTGCAAACGGAAGGAGAGGAGGATTACGACGACGAATCGAACCTCGAGCTGGAGATCGACGAAAACTTCCTTGCTAGCACGATGTTCTCTTCTTCGAAGCCGGCGGGCACAACCGCGAGGAGCAAGTCCGATGCGGATGGTGGAAATGAACAGGCTCCTTCGAATGCCGATTCAAAACGAGATCCACTGGCTTTTTCGCTCAAGTCCCTGGAGGAACCTGCGTTGGATGGTGGTGCGAACGTGCAATACGAGGAGGCTACTTTGGTGTTACGGACGCGGGATTTAGGGAAAGTTGGGGCGTTCAGTGGAGATTGGGTGATTGCGGCTGTGCAGGGAAGCGAGAAGCAGCAGGCAAGGTTGGCTCGAGTCGTTTGCGATGATACAGTTGGGTGAGCCACTTCTGCCTTGAGTTATTCAAAGTTGGAATTCTCACCTTTCCGCATGTCGAACCGAATTCAGACTCCAGTCGGTGGCTATCGCCTCGCCCACGCTACTGTCCAACATCCTGTCCTCTCCCACCACATCTTCTTCGACGGAACCTACCATTACAATCCATCCTGCACCCTTTTCATCCGCACACTCACCGCCAATCCCCACAGCTACCACCGCCACCATCGCCCGAATCGCGTCTCCTCACGCATCAGACAAGACGTTCCAACCGCTTTTCTTACGCGCATTGAAGCGGTACTTCCAAGGTCGTGTGAGGGTCGTGAAGGAAGGGGATATCGTTGCTGTACCGATTTGGGTTGAGCAAGCGGATTTGTTGAAGTCTGGGAGCGGGAAGGATAAAGGAGCCGGGAAAGATGGGGCGGAAGAGGGAGGAGAGCGGAAGGATGGGAAAGAGGATAGTGAGGAGATTAATGAGGACGTTTTGGACTATGAGTGAGGCGGAAAGCTTGATCGAGTTATTTGGCTTATGACTGACGACCTTGGGTTTGGTGGTAGTTTCGCTTTGGCCTCGGCCCGCCCTTCAAACGTGGTGTTCTTCAAGATTACGAACCTAGAATATGATATTCTCGACATGAGCAGCAGTGGGCGTGAATTAGACTCTTACGCCGCTGCTACCATGGGAGAGTTGGGCTGCCTCATCGATCCGACTGTGACCAAGATGGTTCAAACCGGGTTGGAACATGTTCGTATCCCGAACGTCCGGTCCTTCTTCGATATCGGTGAGTCCCGCCTGGGTTCGGTCTCTCTGTCATGGTGAGCTGATAACTCACTTCTCGACCCCAGATACGGGATTCTGTGCCCTCCCCACTTCGTCCCGACTCACCGGGATAGGTTCGCCCTTTGCGAAGCTTCACGACGTCGTTCAAGCTGCTCTCGTCCCATCTGCTGTGGACTACGACCTCCCTATATCGGTATTGTTGAAAGGCTCGCGAGGTATTGGCAAGCAGACTGTTGCAAGATGGGTTGCGGAGGACCTTGGGGTGCACGTATACGAGGTAGGCTCAGATCTCCTTCGTGATACCATGAATTGCGAAACGAGGACGAAAGCCTTTCTCTACCCTAGATCAACTGCTTCGACGTCGTCGGGGAAACCGAAGTCAAGACAGAAGGCATTCTCCGAGCTCGATTCGAACGAGCGGCGACTTGCTCGCCGTGCATCTTCTTACTGAGACACATCGAAGCCCTCGCCAAGACGACGCAGACGCTTGAAACCGGTCGAGGTACAATGTCTCATAGACTTCACCTCGCTTAAAAACGGAAGTTCGAGCTTACTAACTTGAGTCGCGAACATCTTTAGAACCACCAATAATTCCAGCACTTCGCGAATGCATCGACGAGTTACGGCAAGGTTGGAGAGTCTCTGGGTTCCCCACCATACTGGTTGCAACTACCAGTGATCCGGAACATGTCCCAGTGGGTGTTTTGGGTTGCTTCAAGCACGAGATCGCATTTGAGGTGGGGCTTCACATTGGAGCGGCGAGAAAAGTGACTGATAAGCCGTCCCGTACGTAGGTACCCAATGAGCCTGAACGGTTGGACGTGCTTGGGACTCTTCTTGAAGGGTTGCCACTCTCACCGGACGTATTCGTGCAAAGCATCGCCACTCAGACCGCCGCATTGGTAGCAGCCGATTTAGTTGACCTGGTCGAGCGGGCCAAATTCGCTTCTATGGAACGAGTATTCAAAGCGGAGTACGCACTTTATTACTGGCTTTGAGGGCATTGCGTCCTCACCCTTCTTCGTTCTAGCTCCAAGCCCGAACTCCGCCAAACCGACTTGACTGCAGCAGGCATTCAACTCACTGCCGCAGATTTTGACGTCGCGCTTTCAAAAGCCAGAGCGTCATACTCGGAAAGCATCGGTGCCCCCAAAATCCCCAACGTCTCTTGGGACGACGTTGGTGGACTCGCGAATGTCAAGCAAGATATTTTGGATACCATTCAACTGCCGTTAGAGCATCCGGAGCTCTTTGCGGACGGGTTAAAGAAGCGATCAGGTTCGCGGATTTAATTCGTACTCCGATTTGACGACCAGCCTGATCTTTGGCTCTTCTAGGCATTCTATTATACGGTCCGCCCGGGACTGGCAAGACCCTCCTTGCGAAGGCAGTAGCGACGTCGTGCTCCCTCAATTTCTTCTCTGTCAAAGGCCCTGAATTGCTCAACATGTATATCGGAGAATCCGAAGCGAACGTCCGACGAGTCTTCCAACGCGCTCGGGACGCCAAACCTTGCGTTATTTTCTTCGACGAGTTGGACTCGGTGGCGCCGAAGCGAGGCAACACTGGCGATTCGGGAGGTGTCATGGATCGAATTGTCAGCCAGTTGTTGGCCGAGCTGGACGGAATGTCCGATGGAAAGGGAGGAGCCGATGTATTCGTCATTGGTGCGACGAATCGACCTGATTTGCTGGACCCTGCACTTCTTCGTCCTGGAAGGCGAGTGGTTTCTGTACCTGCTATTCCCATCCAACACGAACTAACACGACGTTGATGCGACTAGGTTCGACCGAATGTTGTATCTCGGTGTCAGCGACACCCATGATGCTCAATTGAAGATTATCCAAGCCCTTACTCGAAAGTTCCGACTCGACCCCGCTCTCGACCTTCGTACCATCGCAGACCAGTGCCCCTTCAACTACACGGGTGCCGATTTCTATGCCTTGTGCTCAGATGCAATGCTCAAGGCAATGTCTCGAAAGGCTCAAGAAGTGGACTCTAAAATCGGTAAGGCTGTTCATTAATCTGAATGATCGCAGGTGTTAATGTGATTCCTCGCAGCGACTCTCAACGCTCAACCGCCTCCACACAAACATCCACACCCAATGACTCCTCAATATTACCTAGCGGAGATCGCGACGGATGCTGAAACGGATGTCGTGGTAGCTGAAGTCGACTTTAAAGCAGCCCTACAAGAGCTGGTGCCAAGCGTTAGTACCAATGAAATGGAACACTACCGCCAAGTCCAGCAGAAGTTTGCCAAAGATACGATCAACGCGAAAAAGTCTGACGAAACTGAGGAGGAGGCACCATCGAGCTCAAAGGGCAAAGGGAAAGCGAAGGCGGTTGATTAGCTCAGCGAATACATTGTTAGCAGATGTTTCGTGTTGACTGAAAACTATCGGGAGCACGAAGTGGGAGCAACTCTGCTACCAGGGGCAAAATTGTCTCAACCTTCGAGCTAAGGGGAGTTGGCCGAGTGGTCTAAGGCGGTGGCCTTAAGTTTAAACTTAGGCTATCCACTACGTAAGTGCGTGGGTTCGAACCCCACACTCCCCATTTTTATGCTGGGGATGGCGACTTTTGGTCAAATCTCAGTGGCGTGGGAGTTGAAGTAGGTTCGCAGGACAAAGGATATCTACAATCGTTGAAGCAACAACGATGGTGCATATGGGACCCCTCTCATTTGCTTTTGCGATCAAACGAATTGCAGCATCTGCATACGCGGCGCGAAGACCGATGTTACTCTCCCGAAACGTTCGCGGTCATGAAGAGTCATTTCAAGATCAAATATTGAGCTCGCGATAAATTATCTGAAAACATGAGCCATAAGATAGAGACCGAGGCTCCGAGTGGGTATATTGGCTGGGGTGCTGAGGAATACGAGTTAGTAGAGTGCCTCGTCTTTACTAACCGGCCACCACCTCCACCACCACCGCCACTGTCGCCTCCACCACTACATCCTCCCCCCCTCCTCCTCCTCCTCCTCTGCCATCGCACATGTAACCACCTCCGTAATTATCCAATCCACCATACACTCCACTGACATATCCTACACCGCCTCCAAGCCCCGAGGGCCCCCTATAGCCGCCTGTTGCACGGTGTCTCTGCAGAGACGACGCTCCGCAGCGGATACTCGCTTTAGAACTGAGCAGATCTGGGCTAGGCGTTGCCCTGTTGCCCAATCCAATCTCGCTCTGGCAGCGCGGTGAACACCGGAATGCGAAGCGACAGGAATCAGATTAAAGTCTCGATGGCAAGTAATGTATATATCGTCTTTGCACCTTGATCGAAGGATTTGATCTGATGGCGAGACTCGACCTCTCTTGACGCTTCTGCCGCTTCTGGTCCTCGATCCCATCCCAAACAATAAAGCGGTTTGAGATACAGGCAACGGATCATTTACACCACCAGAGAGCCCCAGCGGTAGATAGCCGATTAAAGCTTTTCTCCGAGATCGATCGACACTTTGGGAATTGAAAAGCAGTAAGGTTTATAGCACGATGGGGAGTTCGGGAAGGCCGCGTCTAGCATAACCACATTGGGGTAGGTTTGAGAAACGATCCACCCTCCCCCCAACCTAGCGATATGAACGGTGCGGATACGCATTTGATTCTATTGGAGCTCTCCTAAATTCGGTCTAGCTCGTCGATTGCGAGGATCACCGAAAGTGCCTCCCTAATACGGCAACTCTCTAAGCGTAGAATATTCTTGCGCATAACTAAGGATGTATTAGTGAAAATGTACGATAGGTTTACGACAAGTCGAACGTGTCAAAGTCCCGAACAGCAAGCAGAAAAACGATGCTCTACTCCAGGAGGGGGGAATCCGAGACACATATACTACAATGGATGACAGACAAAATGGGTGGGTGAGGGTATCAGAAATGGACAGGGTCATATGAAATGCCAAACATGATGAATAATGAACGAATGCAACATGGCGGAATCATGCGAAAAGTGAGGTTAGAGGGAGAGGGCGGAGCATCGGTAGGACCAGGGGCTTAGAGAGAATCGACGATGTGGTGAACTAAGGGTGCAGCAAACGAGACATCAGCGGGTTGGCGAAGGCGGAGTGTCAGCGTGCACTCGCTCACCTGAGCCTCCTGTCCTGGACGAGGCGTAAGGACGGCCTTTAGGCTGGGCCAAAACTTGGCCAGGAGCGGCGGTTCACCGTCCTTCAATTCGGAACCTAAAGGTCGCGTCAGCGGGAAACAGCTCCGATTTTACATAATTTGGGGTGACGGCTCACAGAAGAACCTGTACGCTGTCCAAGCAAGTGGGCCACAATGCACGAGTAGGCCTGGGGTTGGGACCGCTGGGTCATTCAGGTTCATTTCACCCGAGGGACCTGCTGCGCTTCCGATAGAGATCTAAAATCGGTGGTTAGGAGTGGGCTTGCCTTGCACACGAGTCTGATGGCGTGCTCACCACTGTACCCCAGCCATCCTGCCTCCCGCTTCTGGCGTAACTTGGCTGGTATCGGATGCCTTGGTTGTCGTCGTACGAGATTATATGAGGGAGGCCTGAGCTGCTGTCAGGCATGGAAATGATGGACGGCAGGCGATACGAACTCACCGAGGAAGTTGCTGGATTCGCAACACTGTGGCATGGCTCTCTGTCAGTGGCGACACGTGGGGGATATGGAGTGATTACCGCTCACATCAAAAAAGGTCTGCAGTAAAACGTCAGGTCAGAGAGTTATGATCATGAGGATAGTTTGCTTACCCAGAGAGTTGATCCAGATTTTAGGGGTTGGACGAGCCACGTTCTTAGCTCCTAGAGAAGAAAGCCCGTTCAGTGCTTGTCTTCGGTTAGAAGATGTCGACCATCGGCTGACCTGAGGAGATATATGGCTGCCATCCGCTAGTACTAGACCTAACGCATTATTCCCCGGATCAGATCCGTAGGGGTGATGAGAGGCAGGGAGACCGAATAAGACACACCTTGGGTATCGCCATGGCCGGAGTCTAAAGAGTCGTTTTGGTCAGATGAAAGAACAGTCAACGCCGCTGGAGGCATTGGAGCCAACTTACAAACTATCACGAATTGGTCCCCTTCTTTGTTTTCCTTCAGAAGTGCTTGAATATATCGCCGCTGGGGTTTAGAAGTTGAGCCTCAAATGTTGTTCACGTTGCCTCGGAGAAGAACTACTCACGATGTTTTCCCTTGTTGGGTACCTATTAGGGTCCGCGTTTGGGAGAGTATCCGCCACGACGTCGAAGTTCCAACCTGACACTTAAAAGACCGAAATAGTTGGTGTGAATAATTGATACGGCCTTGAAAGCCTAGCAATGCATAGCTCACTCATGCCCAGCATCCCCCAAATCTTCCAATCAGTCCCAGAACCTTGTATTACCGGCCAGCCATTGGTGTAGGAGGATATGCTAATCTGAAGCGATGGACAATATCAGTCTTTCAGGTCCTGGCCCATCGACTTTCAAAATCGAACGTACAACGAGGATCCTCTTCTTGGAGTGACTTGCTTCTCGGATTGTCATGTTTTGGAAAGCATTAGCTGCTCTTCAAACGGCGAAGAGAGTTGATTAGAACTTTGACAGTCTGACCGGCGAAGAACGCCAAACATACTCGCAAAACACATTCCACTTTTTCCAAAGGGCTCTCGTATAGCAGTTGAGGATCAAAGCTTGGTAGTGAAGCAGGCTGATGAGCCACTGCACAGCCCGGCTGTCGTCTGAGAACGGGAGACGGGGGATGATGCTGTTAGACCGAGTGTCGCGAGTCATGTTGACGGGGAGCAAGAGAACTGTGGGGAAGAAGATCAAGGAGTGAGAGCGAGTGGATATATACATCCGATGGCGGTGAAGAGCTGCCTGAGCGACTTTCTATCTTCATTTCACCTGGGGTTGTTCAAGGTGGCGGAATTCTGCTCCATCCACTTGTCTCAACGTAGCTCAACTCCCGCGACTGTGGAATCTGTTCTAAAAGAAATCCCGGTTTCTGGCTGCGGACGAAGGGGGCGTCCGATTCGGTGGGGATGCTATAGTCATATGGGAGATGTCTACGAGACAGGTGGCCGCGTTTAGCGAAATCCACGCGCCACAGTGTGAAGAATGCGTACTCGAAATGCCGATGACAGAATAGGGGAACCTCGTCCTCTCATGATCTTCTTACTACGTCATCCGTGGCCTTTGCGACTGAGAACAGTCCTCCCGCCCCGTTTCCCGAAACAGCCAAGGCATTCCTTGGGGACGGAACCACCCTTCTATTGTGGTTTGCTTCGGGACCGATGGCTATCCGGCGACGCGTACCTCCGGCTCCCTCCGTTTTCTAATGGAGTTTCCAGTTTTCCATTCCGAAAGTTCGAATTTGCTTCAGGGCTGTGCACGGAAGCGCGGACAAGGAGCTTTACGAGGGGACGGGGCGATTGAGCGGGACTCGATTCGAAGAATTCTATATACCTCAGTCGCTCGGTGTATCGATCCCGATGACGATCACGCATTGATAAAATACTGTTGAAGCCCTTTTTAATACGACGGGTGAGCGGTAGTTCAGCCCTGTTTCTCTCCGAGTAAGCCCACCTCGACCCTGCCTCTCGTGGGATTGAAGTGCGTCGTTGCGGCTAGAAGAACAGTAGAAAGATAAGCTTAGATATGGAAGATAATTACCGGGCATGCAGACCCTCGTGGATATTTCTTCGAGCAATTCCAACTTTCGTCGAGAACGTGCGGCCTTTCGAACTCGACTCGTCAAGTTACTAGTAACATTGTGCCACGCTCGCATCGGGTCTGACAATGGTGGTAATGTCGAATCCGAAACTTCGCTTCTGGGAAGTCAAGGTGTATATAACACGCCCACCAGCATCGGTGATGGAGCCGTTTAAAATGTCGTCGGGAATGGTTGGTGATCAAAGGCGCATAAATATGTATCTCGCAGATAGACAAAGCATATGTACCCGCATGGACGAGGCATATATATCGCTCGTGGACAAGGTGCCATGCTATCGTCTCTGGCAGTGAGGGGCAGAGCCGCAGAGGGCGATGACTTCTATTCACATGAACCCGATTGTTTGTGGCGCTAAATATTCCAAACACGCGTACACACACTTAAAACGACCCCTCTATGATCCCCCGGCCCCTGGCTGGACCGACAGTACCCAGTTATGCCTAGAACTCACCTAAACGTAAGATTTTCTCTCTTCGCCTTTCTATTTCTCATACACACACACTACTACATCAGGGGGAGTTTGAATTCTTTGTATTCCAAAGCCAGAGGTTCCATGTCGCCAAGATATCGTAAAACAGCGAGATGTATATCTGTGGGCGTCATCATAACGGTAAGCAATATTTCCCAGGGTTTCGAGATAGATGGAGAAGTGACCTCAACGAAGTGAGGCAATTGCCGGAGAGCAGAGCGGACGATTCGTCCATGTTTCGGTCGCTCCCTTCCACACTTGTGGCTTGGATCGAATATAGTTATTCTCGAGGTGGTTGCCTTGGAATTTTGAAACCCGAGAGAATCAATTGCGTTTGGATGGCGGTAATGAGGTAAGCTTTCAAGGGGAGGTCGTCGAGATCTCATGCAGTCAACCGACCTAGG